CACAGATGTACTCAATTTTCCTCTACAAGATTTGAGCTTTTAAGATTTCTCTGCCTACAGTCAGGAGGCCAACCTGCCTCACCCACAGCCCTGAGACATCTCCCTGTGCATTCACACACACTCACCCAGATGATGACCTTCCGTTGCTAACCACCGAGCCTCATTTTACCAGGGCATAGGCAGCTCTAAACATCTGCAGCTCACCGAGATGTTTATGGCCGCTGCAGAGAGCTCCCCTCTGACCTCTGTTAAAAATTATGCAGTGGACATGGCAGCCAAGTCAGATGTCGGGTTCAAAAGGACAATATTTCAACTGCTGTTTGACCGGTGCACCGTTCAAGGGAAAATGCAGGTTGTCTCACATTTAGGAAGAAAAAAGAATGGTCGCTTCCCATCAAGCTGGGGTTCCTCAAGACAGAGTCAGCAGGACACTACTGCATGTCTTCCAGCCCAGCTCTTTGGGGTGCTTCATAACAAAAACATTGAATTTCAAGGGAACCGAGGGAACATCAGAGCAGCTCTATGCTCGCTGTCCCTACCTAAGAGCAGAGCGAGGCAAAGGGCTTGTACATGGCCTAGCGAGATATAAGCCAAGAGAAACCACATCTCATCAGTGCGGAGCATCTGTGCAGCTACAGCAGGATAACATCAACACTGCCATATCAAAAAGCTACAGTCACTGGAGGGTTATCCTGAGTACTACACAGTACAAGCTGCAACAGAGAGACAGACAAGAAACTCCATCTCACCTTGTCCGGTTCCCAGTGGAGATGAAAGCTCAGAAAATTCTGGTAATGTTGCAGTTTGCCCTTATTTGAGGTCTGTATAGCACAACCGGTTATCACTTAAGACGAAGAAGATTAGAGAGTACTGAAAGCGTACGTCCTGGCTAAACCAAACCAAAATGACTCAGCAGCTACAGAGGGGTGGAGAAGTTAAGAAGTATTGCATGTATTACTGAGTTCATAATTTTTCTCAACAAATACTTTTCTGTAGCCCTGGGGACTGCGTGCTCCGAGCTTTCGCACAGAGAAGACACTTGTCTCCTGGCGCATGTCCCTTGGGATGGACTTTGGAATGACGGCTGAACCTGACTGACCGTAGCAGGGAAGAACATGCCAACTAAGAAGATATTTGTGCTGCAGCCCAGAGGTGTTATCACAACTGACAGTTGTACCTGCCTAGTGCTGAACTATCTAGTGACTGTATCAATAAGCTGCGGATCTGCAGATAGACCAGATTTAGCACACGCTGAAAACATTTCTGAAGATCCTGAGTAAAGATTCAGGCTAGCTTCTGCTGAGCTCCTCACTACTTTTACAGACTGTGCTATTAATACCGAGCTCAGTAGCTTAAAGCTAGTTCAGGTGACGCTTGCTGAGCCACAGTCACACCTCTGGATTGCAGGGTGGGGCTGTGCATTGCCACCAATGTACAGGAAAGGAATCAGAATGGGATTGCAATAATTTAGAGGTCTTTGTAGTTTTTGCTGTCACCTGCAGACAGAATACATTCGCAAGAGACCTTAAGAGCTGGACACCTCTTTGGGAAC